AAGAGAGAGAGAGAGAGAGAGAGTATATGTGTGTGTGTGTGTGTGTGCGTGAGTGTGTCGAGTTTACGAGCGGCGTCGTGACGTCAACGTCTTTCGCGATGAAGACGTTCCGTGACCTCGCGCGGCCCCGAATAACAAAGCCTTGAAACGGCTCGCAACAACAACACCTACGCGATCAAACGAAATTTCGAATTTCGGGAGAAGAGAAATTCGTCCCTTTTCTCTTACCCTCGAAGAGAAACGTTGTTCGCCAACGTTTAACTTCAAAAACCCGAAAAATTCCCCGAGATTCGAGATTTCCTTGGAAATCGTATGCTGTGTGTTCTTAATTAAGGATCGGGGGAGAAAATTTTTGCACAAATTTTAAAAGCATGCAATTTCTATCGGGTGTGGTGCAAAATTAGGGTGAAGGAGGTTAAAAGCTAGGGATAAAGTACTTCATCAATTGGTTCTTCTTCAACCGATTCTTCTTGGCTTGGTTTAATTGAAAATAACAACGAAGCGATTGATATTCGATCGTTGGCCGAAGAGAGAAGAAGTGAACTTACGGATTCGAATCGACTTCTCGTCACCTGAAGACTGCTCTTTCCGATCGGTGTCGATCGGCAACTCGAAGTTGGTCGGGATAAAAGATCGCGGGCGCCACAGCAGAAAGGGGGTAGCGTCGCCAGCTACCAAAAAGTTATGCGGCTAAATTCGAAATGCAGTTCTCGGAGAGTGTCGCGTCGCACTTGTTTACGATATTAATTACGATCTCGCTACTTGTCGTCTACGAGAGGGGTGAAGAACGAGAGGAGGAGGAACTCGTGTGGAGAACGGATGGTGGCTAGAGAGACGATGGTGTTCTACGAAGGTTCGTCCCGAATGCACGCTTCGTCTCGAGGTATACGCGCGAATAATGACAGGGTTGGTGGTGGGATGATAAAACGCGAGCTGTTTCTACGACCGACTTGGACGCGTACGTCTACTAAGAAGGCGGGCCGATGTGTCAAAGCCTCGGTGAACGCGCGAACATCCGAGGTTCGTTCACGATCTCATCGTTCCCGAGGAATTCTCCGTTTTTATTATGGTGGTTCATGCGTACGCGCCCTCTGGCAGCGCGCATAATGCTCACGTCGTTCGGTTCACGCGATTGAAACGGGTCCGCGAAAGAAATAATGCGAAAGGGGAACGTAGGGGGTAAGCAAGCGAGGTGCGAGCGCCTCGATATAACCGAGATGCGACTCCGCGATCCACTCGCGCGGACTCACGCTAGACGACTGCATACGATACGATTACACGGACGGAGAGCCGCCACCCTCTGCCACCCGTTCACTACTCCCACCCAACCACGCTACGAAGACCACGCCAACCGATCGCTTCCCTTTTTTCCTTTCCTTCTTCCAAATTCACGATTTCACGTCACCCTATCTCTGCTTTAACCGGTTATTTAATTTCGCGCTTCTCCTCCTCTCTCTCTCTCTCTTCTCCTTTCGATCGTTGTCATTGTCATTTTTACGAAACGAAATTCCACTCCTTCGTTTTTCTTCTCTCTCTTCACCCCATGAAATTCTACTTCTTGTAGACGCTCGAAAGATCTCGTTTCTAGGAAATCTGCATCCCTCGGGAAAAATTAGAAATCGAAAGATAGACGAAAAGGGTTGATTTTCCATTACGTTTTATGGAATGGTTCCAAATATATAAGACGCGGTGATCCATTTTCTTGCTACCGCAATCGATTAATTTGGTTTAAAAATTTAAAAAGAAAAAGGAAAAAAATTTCGATGATACTTTTAAACGGGCTCGAGTTTGTCATTGGCACCTAGCATTGCCTTGAATTTTTCCAGTAATTGCAGCGCACTTATCGTTCAATCGTAAAGAAATGTTCGCGTTGAAGCGCTCTCGACGAGTAGTTATATTTAATCTTTGACGATCTACTTTGGTGATCGATAAGAAATCCGGATAGGGTGTAATAATTATTGAGGTCAGTTACTTGCTGACTGGATCATTAGTTCCCTCTCGACAAGCGAATCTTGTTTTCTGCCGTGTCAACGGAATTCGTGATTCGAATAGCTTCTAAAGGATCTTTTTATTTTTTTTATTTTTTTTGCCATGCTAAAAGTGGTTAAATCAGCATAAAGCGAAAAATTAGCATAAAATAAACATCGAGGATAAATCTATTTGCGTTATGTAATATAAAATTTATACGAACGAAATATTATTATAACAATATATAATCGATCAGTTATTCGTAGCACAATCTCGTTTAAATTAACAGACTTGATACAGCAGGGACAAAGATACGATTATTCGAATATAAAAGTATTGGATCATTAAAATTTATTGTCAACATACGAGTGCTTTAGGACCAATCGTAAATGTTCGGTGATGGATAGATTAAAAAACAATAAAGGTGATTGTGTACATACAAAACGTTTGCTCTCGAAAAGGGTGAGAGCAGGGGCAGTGCTCCCCACCCCATTGGCTCAAGTGCAAACAGCGCGCAGTGACATTGCCGCAGCTGGGAACTTCGTATCCATTCGTTCATCCCACCAATACCGAGGTATAAAAGCCTAACTCCGAAGGAATATTCGCGCAAGCGCTTATATCCTTGGCATCAGCCAGGGCCAAGATGATAAAAGTTTGGACACTGACGCAGATTTATCAGCTTGCTTCGTTTTGGGTTTTGAATCTAATAAGAAAAACATGCGGAGGAACAAGCTACGATAAAAACTGAAGTACAATTTTGCGTATATTTTATAATATTTTCTCTTTCTATTCGATCTTTAATTTTTTTTCTTTTTTTTCATTTAACATTTTAGAGCTTATAACATAAAAAAATTTCTCTATTTTTCATCTAATAGATCTTTATAAATATTTTTTATAGATACGATAAATACATAAAGAAAAATATTGCAAAATTAATTATAGATAACACAGGAGTTTAAATTGCTCTTACATAACTCTTTGAAATGATAATGAATTCCGAAGCATCACAATTCTTTGATACAGTAATGAATAACGTTTGCAAAGGCTCGTTAAATTCACATTATCGTACAAAGACCCGTAATTTAACGACCAATCGATAATACATGTTTAACAATGAATTTCAAGTTTGAATAATGAATCTATTGTGCAGTATAGTAATCGTTTTAGAAAGTCGCCAAATAGAACGAGTGATATATTATATACTGATTGTTTTATCTTTTATCGTAAATTGTTTACAAATTGAAAAATTCTTTTATTTATGAGAATTTATATGAATTGATATTTGATAATTATGTAATGCATAATATAAGAATGATAAAATAATGGAATTAGAAAAGTAATTAAGAGAATTCTGACCTTTCTTTTTGAAGAGAGGTCGATATTGTTTCAGTCCAATTTCGGCAAGCCATTGATCTGCTTCGGTTAGATCTCCGTTGTTTGCATTTCCGGTGACAAGCATCAAAAGTTTGCCAAGGGATAAAACCATAGTAAGGGCTAAGAATACCCCAGATAATACAGTCGACCATCGTGCCATTTCCTGATAAGTGCATCTTCAAATAAATAGTAATAAATTATATTGACAAACTGCGTGTATACGTATATATAATATTGATGTTAACAGGTTAAGTGTCTGAATTGAGGTTATGTCACCATAATGTTTGTAAACAAATCTATGTCCGGAAAATATAACTAGTGGTACTTTGCATTAATCGACTTACCACATTTTCATAGAACTGTTAATCGATATATAATATCATCGACAAAATTGTGCTTGTGCAGTTTTACGGAGTAAAGACTTACATACTCGTACAGAATAAGGATTGCTGTAGATGGAGTGACAGATAAAGAACACTATAAATTTCTAGGGATTTCGTACATCGGTCTTTCTTCTAATGGACAGACTGAAAATCAAAAAAATATACATTCTTTACACACACATAGAAAAATTAATTTATATATAAAAAATATAAATTCTTTATGATATATAAATAAAAAATTTATATACATATAAAATAATATACAAAAATAAATATATATATATTTGCATTTAAAAATTGAATTAAATAATTTTTGTTAATTAATAGGTTTTATAAAAAAAACAAAATTAATCAGATATCGGAGCCATTTATTGAGTGTATAAATTTTGAAAAGGAAATATAGACAAGAAGAGGAAAACAAGAATAATGTAAAAATTGGGGAATCAGTGCCATCTTTTAAATACAAAAGACATTTCTTTAAAAGTAAGGTAAAGAATTGAAGAATAGCGCTATTATTTGAATAGTAAAAAGAAAAAAAAGTACATCTTTTTAAAAATATTCAAAAGATGGCGCTGATGAAGTCTTCCTACTTTTCCTGAACTATCTCTATTTTTTTCTCAATATACGTTGTCTTTTCTTTACGTATTCGTAATCTAGAAATGGTACTAATTTTTCTTATATTTTCTTATAATATTTTTATATTTTTTTAACGTTTGAATTAAAAAATAAACAATATTAATACAATTTCCGTCAAAACAAATATAAAAATTATATTTTACGAATCAACAAATAATATATAATACATCATTATTAACAATTTAATTTTGCATATAAATTGATGTGATTTTTAAATTATGATAATTTATATCTAATAAGCGTTTTTTTAAAATTTATACTCATTTCATAAAATAATTGGCGACTGTTTTATGTACAAAATTGTTTCTTACAATAATTACATTAGAGAACAAGTCCCTGATACGATACACCATCAGCTTCTGGAGATTCCATTCTATTCCTTAAATGTTCTAATGTATTAGCTAAATGTTTTTGAATTTGTTCTGTTTCTTCACTAACTTCTAAATTGGGAAGTTCTTCTTTAATTTTTGCTATTACTTGATTTATAATATCGACAGTAAACTAAAAAAAAAAAAATAATGAATATTAATTTATATACATATTAATAGAAATATAATTCTTACCATAGTATTGCCTTTTTCATAGAAATAAATGTAATGATTTAATAATTCCACATAAAGTTGTACTTGAACTGAAGTATCCATACATTGACTTGCTATTCTGATACCTTTTCTCAAACAATCCAATACTTTATATCCATTTTGCATCTTAAAAAAAATATATATATATACAAATATATAAATATTAATATATTTTTAAATAATTTTATTATAATATATAAAAATATATATATATATATATATA